AATTTCAGGAACCCACAAAAGGATCCCAGTCCCTTTGGCTAATAATCTGAACAACGTGTCATTGGGAGCAGCTTCCACTCAAGCGTTTCTGTAGACAAGAGCTTTAGAAACAAGGGCCAGTCTGCAAATGTGATCTGTTGCTTCTGCAAGGGAGAGTTCCCAGCCTGCCGTCAGCACACGGGTCTTCCCTGTGCCAAGATAACAGTGATGGACATTTGCAACACACCCACTATCAGTTCCAAACTCAGATGTTAGACAGATGGCTCAGAACTAAGTCACTGGCTGCTCTCGCAGAGAACTGGGTTTGATTCCCAGTGCCCACACAGTGGTTCACAACAGTCTGTGACCGCAGTTCCAGGGACCTGATACCCTCTTCTGGCCTCCTTGGGCACACTACTCAACCATGGTGCACAGACATTTGTACAGGCAGAACACACACACACACACACACACAAATAGAAAATTAATAATGATGTGGATTTTCAGAGATACGGATACTCAGAAAACCCAATACACATGCAAAGAAAATAAGGAAGCTTTTATTTTATTTTTTAAATATTTATTTATTATACATACAATATTCTGTCTGTGTATGCCTGCATTCCAAAAGAGGGCACCAGACCCCATTACAGATGGTTGTGAGCCACCATGTGGTTACTAGGAATTGAACTCAAGACCTTTGGAAGAGCAGGCAATGCTTTTAACCTCTGAGCCATCTCTCCAGCCCAAGGAAGCTTTTATTAATGGATCTAACGTAAATAATTTCAGAATATTTATATTGCAAAGGATACTTATCAATGTAACAAAATCTATAACAACTTTGACAACAGCTCAAACCCTAAATACCAGTATATTAAAAATTTCAAAGAACCACTACAGAAAAAAAATGCTTCATCAACCTTCAAAATGTATTCTTCTTCAATAAACTCACACTGAAGGCCAGCCTCGCTAGAGGGGAGATTGAGACAGAGGATTTTGCTTCAAAGTTCAAACTTTATTGAAGAGTTCAATCTGGACAGAAACTGGAGAAACGCAAGGTGTGTGGCCAAGTCTCCAACTACTGTTCAGCCCTTACAAGACAGCAGAAAGCCCACACAACAGAGACACCTGCAGGGGCAAAGAGTGTGGCAAAAACCTTAACCAGTGTTCAAATCTGACAGAACACCACAGGATTTATACTGGAGAGGACCCTACAAATGAGAGGCTGTGGCTTTAATGAGAGTGTAAACCTTTCAACATCAGAGTTCATTTTAGAAAGAATTCTTATAGATATGCTGACAGTAAAGGCCTCTTTGGGGCTGGAGAGATGACTCATCACTTAGAGACACCAACTGCTCTTCCAGAGGACCAGGATTTGGTGCCCTGCACCTACATAGCGCCTCACTCTGGGAGACCTGATGCCCTCTGCTGGCCTCTGAGGGCACTGCACAAACATTTTTTAAAATGGAAAAAAAAAGAGACTTTTTTCAAATGTACACATAAAAGAAAAGCAAAATATACATTTATAAGACAAAATAATTATTTAAATATGTAAGGGTATAGAAAGCCTTTGTCCACTCCAGACCCTAAGCTAAGGGCTACGGGAGATGAACCGCACACACAGGACTCTGGGATCACGCGTCTGACTGCGCCAACATGGGCTTCCCATCTGACAGGGCTAACTCGGGCTTCGCGGCTACACCCAGCCCAGAAAAACCTCCACTGCTTTAACTTTTCTAGATACCATGAGTTGATGTAAATAAACCATCACAGACTCAGAGAATTATGCAGACATTCCCTCTAAAATGATCTGATTGTATTATGTATCTGAGGTTTCTCGATAGCCTTGCTCCTTGTCACTGGAGGAAACTCTGACATAGGCTCTTTATAACCAAACAACAAGATTCATCCCTGAGAATTTGCCGTCTGTATGCAACACAGCCCAGACAGTGGATTCTGAAATGCTTTTATTCAGATTATGTACAGCTTCATTAAATAAAGATCAACCTTTCCTCCTCTGGGTTTTTTGATTGGTTTTTGTTTGTTTGTTTTTGTTGTGTTTTGGGGGGTGGGATGAGTTTGTTCATGTTAGTTGTTTTTGGGTTTTGTTTTGATTTTGGGTTTTTTTGTTTGTTTGTTTTTTCTTATGTTTTTTGGTTTTTCAAGACAGGGTTTTTCTGTGTAGCCCTGACTGTCCTGGAACTCACTCTGTAGACCAGGCTGGCCTCAGACTCAGAGATCTATCTGCCCCAGCTTCCCAAATGCCGTGATTAACGGTGTGCGGCCACTATGCCTGGCAGAATAAATCTTTTCAATGAGTTGTTACCTTTGTATTTTGAGTGAATTGCCATGGGCATTAAGTTTTTCCATCCTTCTTCAAACTTCTAAGTAACATATACTAATCACACACCCAGGCAAACGGAGTGACGGCTGTCTAGTAACCATTGCTAGGGTTAGTTACTACACCTTGAAATAATTGGTGACTATTATCTTCATCAATTACAACTTGCTTCCTTTTGTGAGAGCAGTGACAGTCATGGAAATGTTATTACAGAGGTACAATAAAAAGTCCCGATTGCCAGGTGGTAGCACACACCTTTAATCCCAGAACTCCAGAGATAGAGGCAGCTCTGTGAGTAAGGCCAGCCTGGTCTATAGAGTGAGTTCCAGGACAGGCTCCAAAGCTACAGAGAAACCCTGTCTCAAAAAACCAAAACAACAACAAAAAAAAAATCACAGATTCCAGAATCTTAAATTATCTTTTGTGAAATTTTAGTAGTTAATTGTTTTCACAGATCATTCCATGATCTATAAAACACACAAACTTTAGTTCGAGGATTGCCTGATCTACAAAGCGAGTTCCAGGACAGCCAGAGCTACACAGAGAAACCCTGTCTCAAAAAAAAAAAAAAAAACAACAACAACAACAACAAATAAATATATAAAAAGAAGAAGCAGGCCAGTCGGTGGTGGCGCACGCCTTTAATCCCAGCAGAGGCAGGAGGATCTCTGTGAGTTCGAGACCAGCCTGGTCTACAAGAGCTAGTTCCAGGACAGGCTCCAAAACCACAGAGAAACCCTGTCTCAAAAAAACCAAAAAAAAAAAAAAAAGAAGAAGAAGAAAAAGCAGATGGTAGAGGCCAGAGTAGTATTTATGTAAGTGTATACGCTGTGTCTATTCAAAAAGGGTAATTATTGAAATGAAAAATAAATTTAAAAATAAAATTAAAAGGTAAAATTAGAAATCTCCTCTACCTGAGAAATTGTTATTCCGCTGAAGGACTTATTCTAAATTGGAGCCTAATCCTTGATTGAAAATCTCTGCACGCCAGCACAGATAAGGCAGGGAACCAGACTGGAGGGAGATCCCAGCTCTCTGAGCTCTAACTAGGCCATCATGTCGTGGAGGATCCTGTGAGCCAACAACACTCCCTAGGTCAGCTGTGTGAGCCCTCCAGAGCACCAGCTCTGACCCACAACACCTCGTTCCTACCCACTCACCACGCCCACCACGCAGTAGTTTCGCTATCTCCTGCACATTGTTATGGCCTCAGAAATCATCCTCGCACTACCATTGTTTCTAAGCTTATCCCTTAAAAATCTCAAAGGATCAAGAGGGCTCCTGTTGGGTCAGTGTTTTAAGGTCCCAGCTGTGCAAACGCGTCCACCAGCTCAGTTCTGCCCACTGGACCACAATCTCTGCTCACTACGAGGGTCTCAGGAAGACCCCGCCCTCCCATTGGGGTAGCATCTCGTCCCAGTACGGAAGAGGTCGCTCATAAGGAAACAAATGCGAAGTGAGACTTAAAGCAAACCCTTCCCTCCGAGGGAGCATGGCGCTCTTGGCATCTGCAACCCAGACCCCTGAACTTCAGTCAGCGAGAAAGCAAATCTTTAGCCATTGGGTTCCTGCTGCTCTGTCAGGGCAGGCCTAGGAAATTAACAGCCACAGTCTGGACTGCCCGTCATCTGTCCGTCATCCCCTCTGGAGCACTCCACAAGGCAGTAGGGGATTGATGCTCCTCTCAGGCCACAGTGGCTGAGGAGTAGCCACTTCCAATCTGTCTAGTGGCTTTGGTCTTTCTCCTAGGAACAGTGAGGAACAGTGAGGTGGGTTGCATGAGAACGTCCCCCACAGGCTCACTCATGTGTGCAAACACTTGGTCCCCCGCAGGAGGCACTGTGTGGGTAGACAGCAGAACCTAGGAGGCAAAGCCTTGCTTGAGGAAGAAAACATCACTTCCCGTTCAGCCTGCTTCGCACTTTTAAGATGTGAGCGCTCAGCTTCCTGCTCCTGCTGGGACGTCTCTGCACTGATATATTCCTCGGCCTCTGGAACCTAAAACCAAAATAAACGCTTGCTTCTCTTAGTCACTTTTGGTCACGGTGTTTTAACCAAACAGTGACTAATACAGATGGTAAGACTTCTTGGAATCATTCAGCGAGACTCCATCTTGCTGATCTCAGAGATGGACAGCCTGCTCGCTCAGAGTTCCACCGTTTGCCCCAACCCCAGCCATCCATAGTCTGGAACAGTCAAAAATATCCCTTTCAGTCCTAGTGGGGAAGGCACCTCAGGAAGGGACAAAAAAAAAAAAAAAAAAAAAAAAAAAGACACTTAACCTGTTCATACTGTCTCAGCAGGGTCCCCGTGGCCCAGGCTAACCCTTAAAGGTTATGAGGACAGACCAGGCTACCCACCACATGCTCCTTTCCGGACTGGGACAAAACCAAGAAGAGGAGAGAAGGAAGCCTGACTCAGGGGCCGAGTGTGGAGGCCTCCCCACCAAAGGGCAGGACGGAGCCATGAGGAACAGTCTGCTGCTTCCATCCACATGGCCTCTGACCAATGCACAGCTGCCTCCGCTCTGGGGTCCCACAGACACCCAAGGGTCAGTCCCAGGGTCTTTAGTTCACTTCCCCAAAGCAGAAATGGCTCATCCAGCTGAGACAGGCTGAGACTGAATCTAGTGCCCTCCCAGGGTAGGAGGAAAGAAAACGCCCACATCCCTTGGTAGGGGTCAGGTCCTGCTGGACACAGGAAGGGCCACAGGCTGGGTCTGTGTGAGCTCAGGGCTCTGGGTGTGTTCTGGGAAGGCTGAGGGGCGGAGCTCCTCACAGGAGTTCAAGATGCAATAGTCGCTGCCGCCCCCGTCTGAGTCCAGAGGAGGGGGCCGGACAGAGACCGGAGAAGCCCAGCCCTCCTGGGGTAGGTAGGCAGACGGCTGTCCTTCCAGCTCCAGACACACTGCGGGCAGCACATGCTCCAAGCCTGGTGGCCCTGAGAAGCCAAGCCCTGCGCCTTCCCACGGCAGGCTGGAAAACTGCACAGGGCACGCTGGGCTGTAGGTGAGGGATGTAATGGCCTCCCAGATGCTGGACTCTGAGCCTCCTGATGGAGTGCCGGCATCATTCCGTCTTGGTTGCAGTCCGGTTCTGTGGGCCCCTGTCCAGGTCTGCATCAGAGCAGGAGGCAGGAGAAGGGCTTAGGTAGTATGTTCTGGACTTACCCTGGGAGCAGCAGAACCCCCCCTGACAGCCCAGATCTCCTCCTCCAGGAAGTTCTAACATGCGCTCCCAAAGCCAAGGCGTGCCTGAGCCCAGAGCATTCTACCTTCCTCTCATGCATGAAGCACTGAGTCTCTCCAGGCCCCTCAGGTTCCCCCTCAGCCGGAGGCCACAGAACCAGGTGCCAAGGAGAAAGGGGAAGAGTGACAGGTGCCAAAGACAAAACCATGGCAGAACGATCGTCCAGGGCCACACAGCAGGGGCAGATGGAGGACACCACCACCACCACCCCCCAAAAAAATGCAGCAACACACAAAACTAGAGACACAGTCCGGAGTCTCTGCAGAGCCACAGGAGGGCTGAGCTTCCCGAAGAATGCTGTCTCTCAGCGGAACTAGAAGCCTCCCCTGTGTCTCACAGTCCACTACTGCTGTGCCAGGGAAAGCTGGCCCACAACACCATCACATAAATACAGCAAAATATGTGCCCATTAGAGATGGGGTACAAATGTAAACCTACTCTATATACAAAAGAGACTCGGAGCATAGACAGGCCCCCACTGCTCGTGTGCCCCAGTCTAAGCCCAAACTTTGCTTACACAAGGCAGACTTCTAGGCCATATCCTGCCCCTGTAGTGCCAGACTTGGCCCTGCTTCCCTGAAGTTCCCCGGAACACACCTGGAAGTCCCCATTGTACACACTGTAGAGAGGAAGGAAGAAAGGTGCTGGAGAGGGAACGTTCTGGTAGATGATCCTCTTCACCCTGAAACCAAAATAGAAAAGTCAGGACCAAAGGGACCTAATGCCACACTCCAGAAGGCTTAAGGTCACTGCCAAGACTGGACCTTCTACCTACCAGATGCCAGCTCACTACACACAAACCTGTCCTCAAAGGCCACTAAGCACAGCAACACATGCCTATTGTTTCATCTACCCAAGAGGCTAAAGCATGAGATCACTTCAGCCCATTTATTAAGGGCCAAAGTCAGCAATGCAATAATATCAATCAAAAATAAATACATAAATAAAACCTCTGAATGAATCCCAGAACGGAAGCCAATGTGGTTCACTGTGACCTCTCTGGTTAATGCCCATATTTACACCACAGCCTGTGTGTGTTCTCCAATAGTGGGTTCAGGGCCTGGAAGCAACCAGCTGTGTCCTTAGCTCTCAGATGAAGCCAATAGCTCCAAAGATAACATCTGTGCCATCAGCAGGCAGTCGTGTTTCCCCGGTCTCACATACTAATACATGTGTGCTGTGGGACAACGGTCTTGTATTGCTTTAATAAAATGCTGATTGGCCAGTAGCCAGGCAGGAAGTAGAGGCAGGGTGATGAGAACAGGAGACACAGGGGAAACCAGACACAGAGGAAGCAAGATGAGAATGCCTCACTGATAAAAGGTACCAACCCACGTGGCTAGCACAAACAAGAATTATGGACTATTTTAAGACGTAAAATTAATTAATAAGAAAACCTGAGCTATTAGGCCAACCAGTTTATAATTAATATAGACCTCTGTGTGTTTCTTTGGGGCAGGACCAGGTGGGACACAAACTTCTGGCAACACTCGTGTATCCCAGCACACTTACATACATGTCCACAATTCATTCACACACACACACACGTACATGCACACACACACACACACTGGCTACCTACCTGGGTGACAGCTTGAACAGAAGGTGAATAAGGCCGGTCAGCAGAAGAAAGATGGACACAGCAACAAGGACGCTATCCGACCACCGCCAGGATGGGAGCAGGAAGTCTGTGGGCAGAAAGGTCCATGGCTGTGAGTAGCCTAAGTGCCAGGATGTTCCCCTAAGACCACATGGTGTGGGGGGGAAGTCACTGTTAGTTCTCCAAGCTGAAACAGAAAGAGTTTAGGATGGGCCTTGGGGCTTGTGTTGTAAACCTCTGATGTTCCTGGGGTGACCTCATCTGCACCCCTCCTTTCCCACTTGCCATATGGCAGTGGTCACCACTGCACAAAGGAAACCCAGGTCTTGTCCAGCCTCAAACAGAAGCAGCCAGTGTGCAGTCCCAGACACCCTTGCTCCTCATGGTGGCCACTAGCTATGAACTAGCACATCCAGAAACAAGGGGAGGGGCTGTAGGTTGAGGAAAGAGAGGAGAGGCAGAAGGAACCAAGGAACAGAGACTCAGCCCAGGCTGTGACAAAGCACCCACCACACAGCACCTACCCTGTCTCCATCTCTGGGGAGAAGGAAAGGACACAGGCTGACTCCACTCACTCCAATGGCTCTTATAATATCTCTCCTCTGCCATGTCATCCTCCTCCAACAAAGTCATCTGGACACGCAGTCTGGCCTCGTAGATGGAGCCAGGGTTCAGCTCGACGGCTTCAAGGCTGAGCCAGGTCACTCCAACAATACGGTCCTTGTGCCGGGCCTGCTGCAGGGTTGGGGGCATTTGACTGAGCGCAGGGCCCTAAAGAATGGACATACATGTACCCACAAGCCCACATATATACACACACACCAGTGGGTACATGTACACCTTTACCACATTTACACACTCTCTCCAGTTAAAAAACATTCAGCCAGAGACGCACAAAGCAAAGCTACTCACACATGTACAAACGGGCACACACACACTATGTTCAAAGACACACACACAAACATGGGTTTGTATGTAGCCAGCACCTACATGCACATCTGATTCTGACTTCCTCTGTCCTCACCACTGACTCGAGCCAGTCCCAGGAGAGAGACCTCAGAGATCTACCACCAAGTTACCTCCCAGGGCTCTTCCTGCTTCTTGAAGGCCAGCTCATAGTTGAGGTCTGAGCTCCAGGGCTCCAGAGCAAAATGGATGCTCCAGGTCAGGACACAGCGCCCAGAGCTGATGTTGCTCTGCAGATCGGAGGGGGGATCCAGCTTAACTGAAACAAAGAGGGGCCCAGTGTGGCTGCAGCTACCATTGTGTCCCTCAGCATGGCCAGAACCAGGACCAAGGACATTCAGACCGGGGACCTCATCTGGAGACTACGTCAGGAAAACTGCTTGGTGAAAGACAGTCAATGACTTCCTAAGTCCCTGCAGCAAGGTAATTTCCTTCACAGTTGGCTGCAGGAAGTTCTTCCTGGTGTCCTTCCGGAATAATTCCTGTTGTGACAGGAGTGCTGGTGTGGAAGTCCCCTCTGTGTGCTGCGATTACCATTAATGGAAAAAGAATCTGCTTTGGACCTGTAGCAGGGGAGAACTTAGGAAGGTAGGGAAAGCTAGGCTGAATGCTGGGAGAAAGGAGGCGGAGTCAGAGAGACGCCATGGAGCTGCTGCCAGAATCAGACATGCTGAAACTTTGCCGGTAAGCCACTGCCACGTGGCGATACACAGTTAAATTAATATGTAAGAGTTAGCCAATAAGAAGCTAGAACTAATGGGCCAAGCAGTGATTAAATTAATACAGTTTCTGTGTGATTATTCAGGCAGGAAGAACAAGTGGCCCTGCCTCCAACAGAGGGGCATTTCCAGTAGCTCTCAGGCTGCAGTCTCTACCCCCACCTAACCACGTCTCTTCATTCTTTGCCCAGACCCTGGCTCTGCAGCAGCCATTATGCCACTTCCCAGGGTCCTATCTGCTTCCAGGACTATGTGGTAAGGATTCTCACAAGGGCACTGGCGGCAGGGCTGTCCTACTCACTGTGCCTCCACGGCTGGAACTGCGAGTCCACCAAGCTGACCTGCTCCTCCTGCCCCATGACGCAGCGGTTCAAAGTGATGGTGAAGACATCAGTGGGCACCAACACCTCCTCAAGGGGCAGCGTGAGGGTGCACACACTGCCCTGGAATGGGCACCTGTGCTTGATATCTTTCACCTGGTTACTGGAAAGGCCGTGTGTTAGCACCATGGATGCTGCTACCACCACGGGGACCCTGTACCCTCCCTGAGCAGGCCTGGCCCTCCGTCCTCACTTGGTAAAGAGGAGCCAGGCCCTGGATTCCAGGCCCACTTCTGGAGCTGACCAGTGACAGTCAATCCTGAAGAGGCTGTTGCTGAGGCAGGTGAACGTCCCAGCCTTCGGCCCTGGGGATGGGGGAGCACACAGTAGGGCCTCAAGGCAGAGCTGAGGTAGGTGGGGGAGATCTGGCCAGAACATTTCCAAAGAAAGTACCAAGAGAATGTGTCAGGGGCAGGATGAGAGGCTTAGGGACAGCTGGGTTGTAACCACGGTAGCAGGGTCATTCAGACCTGAAACCTTTGTGGGATGGGAGGCGGTGGGACACTAGAGGACAGGTTCCAGCAGTGTCTGGGCCCATGTTTCCCCTAGGTTGTCACAGATGACAACTTGTCTCCAAATCCCCTCTCTATCCTGTTACCTCAGGGAGATGTGGCACCAAACTCTCACCTGCTCCCTGCTCTGGGACAGGGACTCCCCAGCAGATGCAAAAGCAGACACAGGTGTAGATCAGGAACCAGGGGACCAGGACCTGCTTTATTGCCATCCTCTGCAGGGGCCAACCTGCAAAAAATTGAACTGTAGGGCCTGTGGGAGGCGTCCCCTGTGGGAGGCGTCTCCTGTGGGAGGCGTCCCCTGTGGGAGATGTCCCCTGTGCTGGGTGTTCCCTGTGTGAAGTGTCCTCTGTGCTGGGCACCCCTGTGGGAGGTATCCCCTGTGCTAGGCACACCATGGGAGGTGTCCCCCATGCTAGGCACCCCTATGAATCCCTTGTGCTAAGCACCCCTGTGCAAGGTGTCCCCTGTGCTAGGCACCCCATGGGAAGCCTGCTTCCCACAGGGCTCTGCACCGCAGATGCCCTTACCGTGTCCGGTGGACAGGACTGAGCACAGCTCTGCAGCTTCAGTGATTAATTGAAGCTTAGAAAAGCCAGCTGACTCAACCAAAGACTGGTGCCTTCGGCACTAAACTGTCCCCTCAGACTCAGATCTCCTGAATCCTAGGCTCAGACAGCATCATGTCCACATTGCCAGCCATCCATCTCAGAGTGGTACCCTAGGCTCTGCAACACCTGTGCTTTGTCTTGGCTCTTGTTGGTCTGTCTATCTGTATGTCTGTTTTAAAATGGAGCCACTCTATGTAACCCTGGCTGTCCTGGAACTCACTCTGTAGACCAGGCTGGCCTCGAACTCACAGAAATCCTCCAGCCTCTGCCTCCTGAGTGCTGGGATGCTGGGATTAAAGGCATGCGCCATCACGCCCAGTTCTGCCTCGGTTCTGACAACTGTCCAAGGAAAGGCTGCTCATTCACAATGCAAAAGTGAAGTCACATAAAGGGCCAGGGCTCTTCTCAGGGACATAGGACAAGCCTCTGTGCATTTTCTGGCCTGCTACTCCTGAAACAGACTTATCCCGGGGTTCTTCCCTGGGGACACAGACGAAGTCAGCAGCAAATGTCTATATAAGAGACAGCTCTTCCCAAACAGCATGGCATGCACTGTCCTCAGCTGTCCCACAAAGGGAAGTCCCTGAGAAGAGCAAGACCTTGAGCTCTGGGATCCCTGAGGAGCCAGAGTGGATGGGGACCAGAAGCTGACTCTCAGGAAGTGCCTGACTTTGTGACTCTACTGAGGCCCTGTCACCCCATTTACATCTACAGATGGCTCCTGATAGCCCCTGAGCAGGAAGCAGGGCCACCCTGGTTATACAAGCCTGATTAGTGATAAGAAAGAAGAAAACATCCATGCACGGAGACCACAGTGCTGTCCTCCAGAAGCCAATGCCACCTCAGCAGACAGCACCCTGACCCACAGACCCAGAAGCCTGTCTACACAATCCAAGACAGACTTCTTTTTTGTTTGTTTTTTTGTTTTGTTTTTGTTTTTCGAGACAGAGTTTCTCTGTAGCTTTGGAGCCTCTCCTGGAACTAGTTCTTGTAGACCAGGTTGGCCTTGAACTCACAGAGATCCACCTGCCTCTGCCTCCCAAGTGCTGAGATTAAAGTACCACCACCACCTGGCCCAAGACAGACTTCTATTAACTCCAACCCACCGCCAAGCAGTCTGTCTGTCTGTCTGCACCTCTAGACAAACGACTGAAGCTTTAGGATGGAGCATGCAGCCTGGGTCACCAAGGACATGAAAACGAAGCTCCCAGGCACTGTATGTCTCCTCTCGTGGTGATTATTGGCAAAGTGGGGACAAAGTATATATTCTCATATACTCCCAGGGTATCTGAGAACAGGATCCTAGACTCACAGAACCTGGAAGGAGAATGTGGAATGCCCTTCTGTATGCTGTGAACATGTTTTTATTACCATTGGTTAATAAAGAAGCTGATTTAGCCAGTAGTAAGGCAGAATAGAATCAGCAGGGAAAAAGAAGCAGAGATACAGGGAAAAAGAAGGCAGAGTCAGAAGGACACCATCCAGCTGCCAAAGGAGAAAGATGTCCGAGCATCACCGATAAGCCATGGCCACATGGCAATACACAGATTAATAAAAACGGGTTAATTTAAGTTGTAATAGCTAGTTAGTAAAAGTCTGAGCTAATAGGCCAAACAGTTTGTAATTAATATTAAACCTCACTGTGGTTATTCCAGAGCTGGCTGGCAGGAGAGAAACCTTCAGTTACACAGTACTGCCACAGAACTCAGGGACTTGTCGCCACTGGAGAGAATCAGCTCATTGCAGCCTCAGGTTGGCCCACGAGCAGATGGCTTGAGAGCAGGGAGCAGAGTGACTTCCAGCCCAGTGTATCCCGTTTCTAGCCAAGGACATCAGAGGCAGGTACACCAGAATTGATGTATCGGATCCGCCTGATACAATGTAGCTATTGTGTGGGCGGGGAGTGTTTCCTCTGCGCAGGGCATCTCTATCTGCACTGGGTGACTCCGGGAGGGTGGGGTCACTACCCTTCTAATAATGAGAAAACAGACCCAGAGAAACCAGAGACTAATCCAGCATGGGACTATAGGCCTCTCTGTTTTAGGAAGGGGTCCCACAAACTGCCACAGCACCCATGAACTTTCTGAGTGCACTGTGTGGCTCCTGGGGCTTGGCCTCACCAAGGAGGCCAAAGTCTTGGGCATCACAAGCCTCTCTCTCCCGAAGCTCTACCAGCACAGGCTGGCACTGACAGGAGGTCTCCCCTCCTTGACAGACAGACCTTGGGCCAGGTACTTAGGACTGAGGTAGGCAACTGAACACTCACTGGTCCTTGAGGACAGGCTGGCCTGGGCCCAAAAATGTCTGACCACAGCACAGGTTATAGAACCTGTGAGAACCTAGAGGAACCAATACCCACCATCTTGGAATGGATGCTCCCGGGCATGTAGCCCTGATGTGAAGCCCCCACCACTGCCCAGCACACCCCACCACATCAGGTGTGAAGACATAGCCCTAGCCTCCCAGACTCTCAAAAGAACTAATATTGGGCTGGAGAGATGGCTCAGAGGTTAAGAGCACTGATTGTTCTTCCAGAGGTCCTGAGTTCAATTCCCAGCAACCACTTGGTGGCTCATGGTCATCTATAATGAGATCTGATGCCAACACTGTATACATAATAAATAAATAAATTGCCGGGCGATAGTGGCGCACGTCTTTAATCCCAGCACTCAGGAGGCAGAGGCAGGCGGATCTCTGTGAGTTCGAGACCAGCCTGGTCTACAGAGCTAGTTCCAGGACAGGCTCCAAAGCCACAGAGAAACCCTGTCTCGAAAAACAAAAATAAATAAATAAATAAATAAATAAATAAATCTTTTAAAAATATATAAAAAAGGTAATATTAACAACAACAACAATATAGCTATGGGCAAGAACACGGCTAGGTAAGTACTCTACAAGAAGACACACCCAAGCCCTGCTCTGTGTGCGTCTGTGTTTGTGTGTGCGCGTACATGCCCTCATGAGGTACTACCACTGAGCTGTATTCCAGGTCCCGTCCCCCTCACCCAGACAGGGTTTCTCTGTAACAACTCTGACTGCCCTGGAACTCAGACCAGGCTGGCCTCGAAATCACAGAGATCCGCCTGCCTCTGCCTCCCGAGTGCTGGGATTAAAGGCGTGCACCATCACCGCCCAGCCAGAAGCAAGTGTCCTTAACCACTAAGCCATCTCGCCATCTCCTCTTTTCTTTTCTCCCCAGCACTGGGCATTGAAGGCAGGGCCTTGGCATGCTAGGAGGCATGCACCTACCAACTGAGTTACATCCCGAGGCCCTGTTTTCTGTCTGACAGAGGCAGGGGAACTCCCTATTCTCCTGCCCACTCACAAAGCCCACAGAAGAGGATGGTAGGAGTCTGCTCTTTAAGCAAACCTTGTCCAGTAGTGTCTTCTCTTCTCTCTGGAGGGAGACACCACGCTCTCCAGAGGCAGCAGGAGCCTGTGGCGTATGGAAGCTGTGCCAGGAAACGGGGCTAGAGGTGGACACAGCATCGAGTTTCCCCTTTGGAAAACCCCACAGAGTGTGAGGACCTCCTCTCTCACCAGGGGGATCCCAGAGCCTGCTGTGCACAGGGTGTGTGAGGACAATCACGATGTTGATGGAGTAGGAACGGTAAGAGCCGGAAGGATGGGGGCCAGTGGACCAGCTGGGTGACAGCCAAGGTGACAGACTGGAAGGAGCAGAGACATTGAGGCAAAGAAAGAAGCCCCCCAGGAGCACCTTCCCGCATACTTCCTGCAGGAAAGGGAGCTAGTGGGCAGGCGTCCGTGGCACACTTGGCTGGACTCAGACGAGGCTGGATCTAGAAGCAGTGGGTGACTAGCACAGGGAAGCTGTTGGGGAGGTGGCTAGGGAGTTCCTCCGGGAATTCTCACTCTGTCCCTCCAATGACTTTTTTACCCATCCGAAAGCACTCACCCACCCTCTATCTTAGCTTCCTCGCCCGAACCCAGGCTCGGCCAGCTGTGTCTCTCGGCACCCGGCACCCGAACAAGAGGTCCTGGCTAAGGCGGGTTCAAGTACACTTGAAGGGTGAGTGGGTGGGTGGGTGGGAGGAAATGGTGCCCCACTACTCCCACTGCCTTCATGAGGAAGTGCCTCTGGCCCTGCAGCAGGGGCCGCCCCTGAAGCCACCTGCAGGCAAAGCCAACTAAGCCAAATGGGCAGCTCGGGGCGCCTGATAATGCCCCAGCCCAACTCCTTAACAAAGATGCATTCCCACATCACTACCAAAGCCACCCTGCCCCAGGGGGTATCCAGGACTTTTCACCAGAGTGGAAGTCATGGGTTCTAGTTCACTCCTAGGAGGCTGAGGCCTGGCCAAGAATAAGCCCAGAGGAGCATCAGTGTCCTGGAAGATCAAGTTAGAGAAGAAAGGCAGAATCCCAGCAAAACAGCCTCCTGCAGCCCAGTAACCCAGAAACAGAGTATGCTGCTCACCCCCACACTCCCTCCTCTCCCTGCTCCCAACCTCAGCACCAGCCTCTCCCAACCCCACGGAGCTAACCTGGAATTCCACCCACATACGCTGCCTCCCATACCTTCTTCTGCCATGAAGCTTTCAAAAGATCTGGAGGTCTAGGGGACTTTACCAACCCTGGGCCTAGGTCATTCAGTTTTGTCCCCCCAGAAAGTTAGCTCAATCGAAGAAGCTTGAGAAAGCAAGGCTTCTTCCACAAGCACCAATACTTCCTGTCCTTCTCTCTGTTGCCTCGGGGCCTGGACACACTGACACCACCACCACCACCCCAGCCCTGAACACTGCAGTGCAGTTTGGCATCTCACGATTACCTCTGCAAAAATGCCATCTCTGGGAGATGGTCAAGACCAATGCACCAGACAAGATCAAACGAGGGCGTCACCCACGTCACCAGGGACACAGCACCTCTCTGCCTCCTGAAGCTCATGTTAATTTGAGAAGAGGGGAGCCCCAAGCACTACTCACCCTCTGAGGAGCATCTTCTCAGGGCCATAGAGCGTTGCAGGCAACCCCAGCCAGGAGGTGACTTACTGCCAACTGTCTCTGTGTGAACTGCAAAGCCCCTTACCTGATCCAGGAGATAAGTCTGAGCAGGCGGACACGGGCCACCCACATCTGAAACCACAAGCACATCACAGAGCTACTGTCCTCCACGGAGCTGAGAGGTGCCTGTCGCCACCTGTTGCACGCCAGAGACTGGTGAGGAGGAATGAGATTTCACTCCACGACACTGAGCATCGCCAAACAGGGGCGGTAGACATGCATCTAAGAATGGACAGCCAGCGTAAGCGGTGTCCTCCAGGAACCCCACAGGAGCAGCACAGACAGCAAGGACGTGGGACAGAGCAGCGCTTGAGCAGAAACCTTCTAGGTTTTTCCCCTTCGAAGTTTTCTGAGACACAGCACTGGCAGTGAGTGTGAGTACTAAACCTAAGTAAAACCTCAGTCAAGAAAAACAAACAGGCTGGGCGGTGGGTGGGGGCACGCCTTTAATCCCAGCACTTCGAGGTAGAGGCAGGCAGATCTCCGTGAGTTGGAGGCCAGCCTGGTCTACAAAGCGAGTTCCAGGACAGCCAGGGCTGTTACACAGAGAAATACTATCTCAAAAAACAATACATAGGTAGGTAGGTAGGTAAAAAAATTTCACAGAAATACAAAGAAAACCTAACAGTACAACAGGCAACAGGGATCTCAAAACATGAGATCTTTACCTCCTTCCTCACAAGTGCCCATGTGAGAAAGGACACTTTTGTAAATTTTATTTAGCTTTTGTTTTTTATTTTTTTTTTTGTTTTTTGAGACAAAATCTCTTTATTTATGACTCTGGCTGTCCTGGAACTCATTGGAAGCAGGCTGTCCTCAAACTGACAGAGATCTACCTGCCTCTGCCTCCTGAGTGTTGGGATGAAATGTGCGTACCACCACACTCGATTTTAGTGGGGGTTTTGGTTTTTGTTTTTACGTGTATGAATATTTGCCTGCACATTTGTCTCTGCTGCATTTGTGTTCCTGGTGCCCTTGGAGGTCAATCAAAAGAAGTTGGATCCCTGTTGTGAGCCACCATGTGGGTGCTAGGAATCAAACCAGAGTCCTCTGGAATAGCAGTCAGGGCTCTTAACCGCTGAGCCACCTCTCCAGTCCCCAAGCACAGTAGGGCTCTTAACCGCTGAGCCACCTCTCCAGTCCCCAAGTACAGTAGGGGCTCTTAACCGCTGAGCCACCTCTCCAGTCCCCAAGCACAGTAGGGCTCTTAACCACTGAGCCATCTCTCCAGCTTCAAGCACAGTAGGGCTCTTAACCGCTGAGCCACCTCTCCAGTCCCCAAGCACAGTAGGGCTCTTAACCGTTGAGCCACCTCTCCAGTCCCCAAGCACAGTAGGGCTCTTAACTGCTGAGCCATCTCTCCAGCCTCAAGCACAGTAGGGCTCTTAACAGCTGAGCCACCTCTCCAGTCCCCAAGCACAGTAGGGCTCTTAACAGCTGAGCCACCTCTCCAGTCCCCAAGCACAGTAGGGCTCTTAACCGCTGAGCCACCTCTCCAGTCCCCAAGCACAGTAGGGCTCTTAACCACTGAGCCATCTCTCCAGCCTCAAGCACAGTAGGGCTCTTAACCGCTGAGCCACCTCTCCAGTCCCCAAACACAGTAGGGCTCTTAACCGCTGAGCCATCTCTCCAGCCTCAAGCACAGTTGTTTAAACTCACACAAGATTATTAGAAACCAGAGCTGGAGAAGCCACCCTGAAGACAGTGGGCCAGGTATGGTGACTTGTGCCTGGAACCCCAGGAGCGAGTCAGGAGACTCAGAGTGCAACCTTATTCTCCTCTACAGAGTGAGTTCAAGACCATCTTAGGCTGGCCCTGAAATAAAACCCTGTCCCAAAAATAAGAAGAAAAAGATCAGAAAAAGGGAATAAATCATATTACACGAAGCATTAACTAAAATATATCTTCTGGAATTTTGCTATAGGCCTTCTGTGAGGACTACATTTGTTATTATTTTTATGAATTAGTATTAGCATCGTTAGTTTGGTCCTCCTTGAAAACTCACAAAGAAAGAGCAAAGCCATTTGGGCTCTCAAAGCCATTTGTTGGCCAAATGGATCAGTACCATCTCTTCATTTCCTTTGTTTTATTTACTTTTCTACTGTTCATTGCCTAATACATAATAGAGTTTTTATGCAAGAAAAGGTAACATATTCATCCATATCAGTCAGGGCTCTAGAGGAAAAGAACCAATAGAATTGATACATAATAAAGGGATTTGTATTAGCCTGGTTTACCCAGTACCTTCCTGGTATCCAACAATGGCTGCCTGCACACTGGAGAGGTGAGAGCCCAGCAGATGCCCAGTCCTCAGGGCTGGATGCCTCAGCAATTCTAATCTGATGCTGAAGGTCAGGAGAATTCTTGGAGGGTCACTTGTCTTCAGTCGATATGGGGAAGCTGAAAAGGCTGAGTCCCAGTGTCCCTGGAATAGTGACAGCCACAGAATAGACAAACTCATGCACAAAACACAAAAGCAAGCAGGCAAAAAGCAAAAATCTTTCCCTACAGACTACTTCATATGAGCATCTAAGCTGCCACCAGAAGGTGTGGCTCACATCCCAGGGGAGCCTTCCCATCTCAATCAGTGTAACCAAGAAAACCCAGATACCAGAATGGCCAAATACTTAAGGTATCAGACTTAAGAAAATCCATCACAGGCATGCCCAAAGGCTGACCTAATCTAAATAAGACCTCACAGATAAACCAAACCTGTCTCACAGGCGATTCCCTGTCCTGTTAAGCTGAAAATCAATATTAATCATTACAAGGCCACCCTTGTCAACTTGACACCCAAATACATATCCACCCTTACACCATGCTTAATTTCCAAGCGAAGACAAGATTGTAATTCTGCCTGACGTAACAATCCCAGTACAACCACAAACACACTACCTTTCTCTCAAAGTAGGTCAGGGTCCCTTTAATGCTTAGTCTTGTAGTGTCCCAAAAGGCAAATACAATAATAAATATTTACAAGACTTAGTAATGGATACTGACTCTGCTTAACAAATGTGTGTGGATGTGGACATATGGAGATACAAATACAGACATGAGGCAGGACAGAAGGAGATGAAAACTATGGTGGCAGAGAAAGGAAAACAAGGGAAAAAAAGAAGCCACCATCTCAAGATCTGGTTGGTCTTTTCTGATGATAAAGACAGAAAACTCAATGCTTGGCGGTGGTGGTGCATGCCTTTAATCCCAGCACTTGAGAGGCAGAGGCAGGCGGATCTCTGTGAGTTTGAGGCCAGCCTGGTCTACAAGTGCTAGTTCCAGGATAGGCTCCAAAGCCACAGAGAAACCCTGTCTCAAAAAACAAAAAACAAACAAACAAAAAGACAGAAAACCTGACACAACTAACAAAGCCAAGATTGCTGGCCCCTTACAGGTTTGAGAGGAGACATTGCAAACGAAAATGTCAAAGACAAGAAAGAAATTGTGCTTCTTTAGGGCCAAATTACTCTATAATAGAAGAGGGTTTGTTTGTTTGGTTGGTTTTAATCTGGTTTGAGACAAAGTCTCACCGTGTAACCTTTTTTGTTTTTGTTTTTTAACTTTCTTCATATCTGCTATGCAATCCTGGTGGACCTTGAACAGATTCCACTGCCTCAGTCTCTCCAAGGGCTGGGATTAGGGGTGTACAACAGGCTTGGGACAAGGACTGGAGTTTCTTTTTTGTTATATATTGCTTTTTGTTTTCCAAGACAGGTTTTCTCTGCATAGCCCTGGCTATCTTGGAACTTGCTCTGTAGAGTGGTCTGGTCCCAAACTTACAGAGCTCCTCATGCCTCTGCCTCCTGAGTCCTGGGATTAAAGGCATGTGTCACCACCACCCAGCAAGGGCTGAAGTTTTAAATAAGGTGATCATCATTTTTTAAAAAAAAAATTGTGAAGAGGGGAGATAGCTCAGCAGTAAGGACCCAAGGCTGCTCTCCTAGGGAACCCAGAGCCATTCCCAGGACCCACATGATGGTTCATAACTGGCTATAACTCCAGCCTGAAGGGATCTGATATCCTCTTCTGACCTCTGGCCATTGAACACACATAGTACACAGTAGAAATAAATGCAGACAAAGCACCCATACACACGTGATCTGACAGAGAGAGAGAGAGAGAGAGAGAGAGGTGTTACAGGGAGACCGGAGAAGGTAGTGAGCAAATGAGAGCCTGGCACTGCCACCATGCACGAAGGACTAAGGGTTTCGCCTGGATTTTTTGTTTGTTTTGTTTTTCGAGACAGGGTTTACTCACTTCTTGTAGCCCTGGCTGTCCAAGAACTAGCGCTGTAGACCAGGTTGGCCTAGAACTCAGCGATAGGGAGAGATCTGCCAGCCTCTGCCTCCCAACTGCTTGGATTAAAGGTGTGCGCCACAACGCCCGGCTCCATCTCACTAGGTTTCTGGCCACTTTTTGGCATTGAGCCTGAGGAGGAAACCCTGAGTGACTGAGACCTGGCTGGGGCAAAGACACAGAGGTAGCGACGACTGGCCCCGAGCAGCAGGAGGCACCCACCTCCTAGAGTCACATTGTGAGCAATGCTGTGCTTAGGGGCAGATGTCGGGAGCGAAGGGTTGGCAGTGCCGTCCCCTACTGATGACCAGCCCAGAAGAGCAGTCTGACTGCCGCTCGACCACTACGGACCCGACTGAATTGTACAACAAACGACCCGCGCTGCCCACACCACGCATGTGACCTGCCCATCCGGCCAATCGCCTGCTGTCCGCGCGCTCCCAGCCTACCCCGTGTCTCGCACGTCTCATTGGACACTGAAGCCACGCAGTGCACCAATGACCAAACTGCCTTTCCGGGGGCGTGGCTCAGTCACTGCGCACGCGCGGGAAAGCAGGGGCGGGCTGGAGGAGCCACGGGAAAGCCTGGCTTCCCGGTAGCTGGCAGCCCTGGAGGACCTGGAGCCTGCGGATCGGCCGGAAGTGCCTGAAGACGACGAGGACGATGAGGAGGCATTGCCACACTCCGAAGCCGTGGACGTGTTCCAAGAAGGTCTCGCCATGGTGGTGCAAGACCCGCTGCTCTGCGACCTTCCGATCCAGGTACGCGACAGGTCTCTGGGGTGTGGATGGGCACCCGTCGTCCCACCAGCGAAAGACGCTCCTGCTCAAAAGCCGAAAGTTTTGGGTGAGGGGACTCCAAAACACTCCCTCGCAGCGTAAAAAGTTAGATTTAAACAAATCCTAAGATTTTAGCTCACAAACAGTGTGACCCGTCTTTTCCATTTGCTTCAAGCGTCAATATGCGTGGGCACAATTCTTTAGTGTATTTTTTAACCTCACCCGTCAGTGGGTGTTTTAATTTAATATCTGTGTGCACACAGAACTGGGCATCAAACTTGGAGCCTTTTGAATACTAAGCAAGTGCTCTACCACGGAGTTACACCACTTTCTCAATTTGCACGTCCCTCAGTGCTTTTGGTTTTTCGAGACAGGGTTTCGCTATAGTTTTAGAGCCTGCCCTGGAACTAACCCTTGTAGACCAGGTTGGCCTCGAACTCACAAAGATCCGCCAGCCTCTGCCCCCTAAGTGCTGGGATTAAAGGCGTGCGCCACCACCGCCTGGCTTCCCTCAGTGTTTTATTAAAACATCTCTTGTCGCCAGGCGGTGTTGGCGCAGGCCTTTAATCCCAGCACTTGGGAGGTGGAGACAGGCAGATCTCTGTGAGTTGAAGACCAGCCTGACCCACTTAGAGTTGCAGACCAGCCAGGGTAACTAACATAGTGAGTCTCTGCCTCAGAATAAACAAACAAAAAGATTTTTGTCATCACTGCTTTTTGGTAGCTGATAAATTTTGCACCCCTGCCCTTACTCAACCTAGTGCTCAATGCTCCTTATGGAGGGCTCTCAGAATTATAATATTCTCCTCTTGTGCAACTCCATCTCCGTGCCTGTTCCTTTACCCCCTTGGGGGACTTTCTAATAGAAAACCCTATTGCATAGCAGGCAAGAACACTTCATTAATCCAGGGCACCACTCTGGGGCACCATGAGCTTGATTTCTGTTGTTGTTCGGGTGGTAAGAGTCAGTATCTCTCCCTCCCTTTGGTCTTTCCCAGGTCACTTTAGAAGAGGTCAACTCTCAGATCGCACTGGAGTATGGCCAGGCAATGACTGTCCGGGTGTGCAAGATGGATGGAGAGGTAATGCGTAAGTACCATGGATGTTGTTGCTTTCCTCTTGCTGTAAAGAGGCACCGCGATCAAGACAGCTTAGTGAGGAAAATGTCTGTGAGGGCTCACAGTCGCAGAGGGCTAGAGTCCATGACCTTCGTGTCAGGGAGCATGGCAGCAGGCAGGTATGGTCCTGGAACAGTAGCTGAGAGCGAGCTAACTGCAGTGGTGTGGGCTTTTGAAACCTCCAAGCTCACCCCCAGTGTCCCCTCCTCCAACCAGGCCACACTGCCTATGATTTCCAAACATTCGAATACATGAGCCCCTGGGGGCCATTGTCATTCAGACCACAGCCATCCTTCTCTCTGTAAACCTGAGCATTCACAGCAGCAGGATACTAGCGGAGCGTCTGTGAGAAACTCGGGCCAGGCCTGGGTGTCTCCCATCGCCTGGGCCTTTATGTGTGCGTCCCACACGGATCTTTCTCCTGTATGTGTTCATGCAGCTGTGGTCGTCGTACAGAATGCCACGGTCCTGGACCTGAAGAAGGCTATCCAGAGATACATGCAGCTCAAGCAGGAGCGGGAGGGAGGCATTCAGCACATCAGCTGGTGAGAGGGGCAGCTGTGCCTTCCCTGTGCCGTCCCTGGGATTGCGTGGGGGGCACTCCAAGGAGGCAGCTTCAGCTCCTTTGTGTGTACCGCCAGGGCTCCGCTACCAAGGAGCGATGGTTGGGCAATTCTGTGCCTAGGGGTCCTGCCCCAGTTGTCCTTTCTAGACATAGCCTTTCACAGACCTTACCCTACCCGCACTGCTGGCTATCTTCACTGGGAACACCTGACACCTCAATGTCTCCCTAGTTATAGATGGAATACCTGTCAGTGGCCTCCTTCCCTCCTCACCAAGGCGCTGTTGGCCCTGCCTCTCGTATTGGATCAAATTTCCTGTGCTCTGACTCTCCCCCTGTATCACCTATTTCATTAGCCAGATGAGTTCAGTAGTCCTACGACTGCCTTGGGCCGACCGTATCATGTAGGGAAAACGTCCAGAAGGGGAATAATCTGTCCTGGGTGCCACAGGCTGTGTGCCGGAGCCTCTGTCATCCCAGCTGCTCAGCCCACCCTCCTAGGGGTAGCGTGTGCATCACTTAAGTCCTCCTCCGCAGGTCGTACGTGTGGCGGACGTACCATTTGACCTCAGCTGGGGAGAAACTCACAGAGGACAGGAAGAAGCTCAGAGAGTAAGTCTTGTCCACTTCCTGAGCTGTAGGTGGCCTGTGTGCCCCCAAAGGGCTCTGATGGGAAGGTCCCTGACTGGCCTGACTGTCCGGTGGATGTTTCCTTGGGGCCTCCCACTTAATGCTAGACAGGGAAACAGCCCTGCTGTTCTCACAGTGGTCTGGGGCTGCATGAAGGAGACCAGGTTGAGGAGGAAGAAGGCTCTGGCCGTCTTCACCTGATTGTTCCTGATCCGTCATAAGCCCAGGTGGTCCTTCTGTAGATCAAGCACTATACCTTTGTCCTTTTCAGTTATGGCATCCGGAATCGAGATGAGGTTTCCTTCATCAAGAAGCTAAGGCAAAAGTGAGCCCCGGACAGAGTGATCACATCAAGATGGCGCCCTCCCCTTGTCCTCACAGAAAAGGGTGTTGGGTTAGCTGTATCCCTAGTTTGCCCGGGTTGGAACTGTCAGCATGAGACCTAGAGCCCTCAGAAGACAGAAAGTTCCTCTGTCCCGCACTTTCCTGTGAACTCGGCCTGAAGGTCCTACACGGTTGTGGGCCTGACCTACTGAATAAATCTGTTTGCTTTGTATTTGGAAAAATCAGAAAGTCACTCCGTGTAGGTGACTCCCATACCAGAGGGAGGTGAGGGCAGACATACCTAAGCCCTGGGTCCATCCACACTGCTCACCTCTCTGCCATGGCCCTCACATGGAGTGACCCAAGCTGAGTCGAAAGCTTTGTTTCTGGGGGTGGAGGGTGGACACAGGAACCTGCATCCCAGGGCCTGTGGTAGGACCTAGCAGGTGACAGTGGGAGTGGAGGCCTCTAGCCTCCACCTACAGGTTCCCAATAGCCATGTTTCTCCCAGGCTCAGTGGAAAAAGACAGTGATGAAGAATGAATCACAGGGGTGCAATATGCTCCCCACTGCAGAGATACAGCAGCACTCCCCTGGGCTCATGCCTCAACACTGGCTACTATGGAAATTCACAGAGAGGTGACAGCCAGTGATGTCTGATGCAGGGCAGTGGTTCTCAACCTTCCTAAAGGTATGATCCTTTAATGCAGTTCCCCATGTTGTGGTGACCCCCGACCATAAAATTATTTTCGCTGCTACTTCAGAACTAATTTTGTGGCCAGGTGGTGGTGGCATGAGCCTTTAATCCCAGCACTTGGGAGGCAGAGGCAGACAGATCTCTGTGAGTTCGAGGCCAGCCTGACTACAGAGTGAGTGCCAGCATAGCCAAGGCTACACAGAGAAACCCTGTCTCAGAAAACCAAAAAAATGATAATTTTGCTACAGTTATGAACCATAATATAAATATTTTTGGAGATACAGGTTTGACAAAGGGGTTGCCACCCACAGGTTGAGAACCACTGACAAAGGGAATTGTATGTCCAAGGTCTTTGTGGCCTCTCCCAACAGCCCCAGCCAGAAATCAGGAAAGGCAACAACAGCCCTGGTCAAGTTAGTGGCAGCTAAAACGCTCCCAGCCCATTTATTGGCCACATGAAGTGGTCGTCGGGGACTAGTTAGAAGGTTATCATGGGAACTCATGTAGTAAATGTCCAGCCGTATAAGGGTTCAACAGGAGCGAGCAAGGCACAGAGGTCAGAGTTCAGGGAGCACCATGTGTTCAGCCCCGGGAGGCTGGGGTGTCCTGGGGTGCCCACAGCTGCTTCAGTGGAGCTGAGCGTCCAGTTCGTACTTCTCACAGAACTTGTCGGTGAAAGGGATGCAGGTGAGAAACTCGCACCACTCACAGCGGACCGGGTAGAAGTAGAAGAGTACCACCAGGCCAGCCAGCAGGCCCAGGAAGACCGCCTGGAAGACGATGATCTGGCAGCGCTTGCGGTACAGGTCAAACTTGCCAAAGCTGATGTACGGCAAGAAGGCAAAGGAAAGGAAAAGGCCACTGATGAAGCCTGAGATGTGGGCGAAGTTGTCGATCCAGGGCAGCAGGCCAAAGGCAAAGAGGAAGAGCACCACGGCCAAGAGCTTGAAGAAGGCACGCCAGGGTCGAGCCAGGATCTGCCAGCTCTGGAACAGCTCCACGAAGAGGCAGGCCAAGATACCAAACTGCGAGCCAGCCGGACCTACCTGGTGTTGGGGGTTGGAAGTTGTGGGCTAGTGGGCTGCAGCATCTCCCCACCCCCCTGAAGCTCAGGCCCTCATCTTCCCAGCCCACCTCTCAACATACTTTATCTCAACATAGATGGGTTCACAACAGCCACAGGCACACATCGAGGGTCCCCACCCTGGGAAGCCACCTTACCTCCGCCCGGTATGGCAGGAAGATGGCACTGGCTAGGTTGCCCGTGATACCACTCAGCAGGTAAATGATGGCTATGCGGTGCCAGCCTGCCAGCTTCTCCAGGTCCCGCAGGACTGTCATCTGGAAGCAGACGGATACCAAACAATGCAGGATCCTGTGGGGAGCGAGTGGCACTCAGCAGGAAGGTGGCTTCTCTTTCACCTCCAGCCCACCGCTCCTGGGGAATGAGGCCACCCACCCAGCCCCCAGTCCCACTTGCCCAGCGTGCAGGAAGAGGGACAGCCACAGGCGGTAGAACTGGTCAGGCACCTCGGGATTGAGGAAAGGCAGGAGGCCACAGACATCGTCCATGCAGTGCACCTGTGCAAAGTGGCCAGTCAGCTTCGACAG